CTGTCATACTCACCAATGGCAGCAAGAGGATTAAAGCTCAAGCACTCATTGACTCCGGTGCTGAGCGTAACCTGATCTCAGAGGATCTCATCAAAGAACTTCACCTCCAGGGGCAGCCACTTGAGCCCCCTTCCTCCATTTTTGATATTACTGGACAATTAATCTCCCAGATCCACTTCAAAGTCCCTCAACTGCAGTTTATTGTTTCTAGTAATCATCACGGCAGCGGTGAGTTCATGATTTTCTCCTCCTCTACATCCCAAGTAATCTTAGGTTTTCCTTGGCTCGGCCAACATAATCCTGATGATTAATTGGGCTGAGAAAAGAATTGATCAATGGAGTAATTATTGTTTACAGAACTGTTTGAAGTCGGCTGTTTCCACATGTTCTGATATTACCCAGATCAATAAAGAGGTGGATTTATCCAAGATACCTCCTGACTATCACGATCTCAGTGCAGTCTTTTGTAAAAATAAAGCACGGTCTCTCCCCCCACATCGTCCGTATGATTGCGGGATCAATCTGTTACCAGGGGCACCGTTACCATCCAGCCGGCTTTATAATCTGTTTGCTCCTGAAAGAGAAGCTATGAAGGAGTACATAGAGGAGGCTTTAGCTTCGGGTCATATTAGACCTTCCACTTCTCCTCTTGGTGCCGGGTTTTTTTTTTTTTTTTGTAGAGAAGAAGGATGGAAGTCTCAGACCTTGTATTATTTCAGGGGTCTGAATGAGATCACTGTTAAAAACAAATACCCCTTGCCTTTAATGGATTCTGTGCATCAGCAACTCCACTCAGCTACAGTATTCACTAAACTAGACTTACGCAATGCCTATAACTTGGTCAGAGTTAAAGAAGGGGACGAGTGGAAGACTGCGTTCAAAATTCATTTAGGACAGAGTATCTGGTAATGCCTTTTGGGTTAACCACTGCACCTGCAGTTTTTCAATCCCTAATCAATAATGTGCTTCGGGATTTTCTCGATGTCTTCGTTTTTGTGTATTTAGATGATATCCTCATCTATTCCTCCAACCCAGTCGAACATCAGAAACATGTTCGTATGGTCCTTCAAAGATTACTCGAGAATCAACTTTATGTCAAAGCCGAAAAGTGTGAGTTTGGGGTACCCACAGTCTCGTTCCTTGGTTTCATTTTTGGTCAGGGGTGTGTTAGCACWGACCCCCATAAAATCAAAGCGGTCGCTGACTGGCCTGTTCCCACTAATCGTCGCCAGTTACAACGTTTCCTTGGGTTCGCCAATTTCTACAGGAGATTTATTAAAGACTACAGTAGGATTGCGGCTCCCCTTACCCAGCTAACCTCCACTAAGAAGGTCTTTTCTTGGGGCCCTGAGGCTGAATCAGCCTTTTGTAAATTAAAACAGAGTTTTTGTTCATCTCCCATCCTCCATCATCCCAGACCCTCTGAGCAGTTTGTAGTGGAGGTGGACGCATCAGATACTGGGGTGGGGGCRGTTCTTTCCCAAAGGTCTAACTCGGATAACAAGCTTCACCCTTGTGCCTTTTTTTCTCGTCGCCTTTCACAGGCTGAGCGTAATTACGATGTGGGAAATCGTGAGTAACTGGCTATCAAACTGGCACTCGAAGAATGGCGGCACTGGCTGGCACTGAATGGTGCTTTATCAGAGCTGAACAACAAAAGAAATCTGAAGCTCCTATGTTGAACAGTTTCTGAGTTATAAGCATTTTTTCATGTCCTGATACCCCTTTTTCAGATAAATTGGGGGTCGGGGGCACTGATTGGTGGGCCTCATGGATAGAGCTTCATCAGAGCTAAACAAAAAAAGAAATCTGAAGCTCCTATGTTGAACAGTTTCTGAGTTATAAGCATTTTTGCATGTCCAGACCCCCCTTTTTCAGATAAATTGGGGGTTTGGGGGGTGGGGGGCACTGATTGGTGGGCCTGATGGATAGAGCTTCATCAGAGCTAAACAACAAAAGAAATCTGAAGCTCCTATGTTGAACAGTTTCTGAGTTATAAACATTTTTTCATGTCCTGACACCCCTTCTTTGAAAGGAGCCCCCTCCTCAAATATGGGGCCTATCGTAAAACCGTTGGCTGGCGCAGTGTAGGTCGAACTCTTCTACAGTCCTGCCAAATTTTGTTGATCGGTGCAGCCATTTTTGTGCTACGGTTGACCAAAAATCACTCAACAAAAAAAATAAATAAATAAATAAACAGTACGAAAACAACATGACGTGTGACCAGGTTCCCGCGAGTCCAGTCATGTTCTAATAAACAGCGCTGATCAGCAGCGCAGCTACGAGCTAATGTAATTTCCCCCAAGTTTTAAAAATTTATTGAGTAGTTTGTGAACTCAAAACACCATAAATCCAGACAGAATGAGTTGCTGTTATGCTACGTTTACACCAAATGCATTGCACGCCTCTAAAAATCTCAAAACGCACACGTCCTGACGCTGGTATCCAGTGATAACAAATGCATTTGATGTGAATGTAGACACGCGTGATAGGAGGAGCCTTTTAACCGTAGTTTCGATAACTTACCAAACATGCCAACTTCCTCACTAATCATCCTCCAGGCAAAATCCTTTTTATTTCTATCACGATAATGGACATAAATGGCATGATCATAAATGATCGGACTATCAGTATTTCCTCCATTGTTTGTGTGATCCGATTTCCCAGGCTTCCGGTATTTCCGGCCCGTCACCAGTCCGTCACTGAGCAGAGTCTCTCTGATTGGTTGATGCGATGTGTTGACCAGTAAAAGTTCAGATTTTCTAACTCATGTCGGACGCTTTGGACGTGCTGCACCCACGGAACATGCTCATGACATGTGCACCGCTGCGAACTGCGCTGCTCGAAATGTGCCAGATATGCTGCTCGGCTTCTAGACGCCCCTAGATGCGCGTCCACAATTGACTTTGCATGTAAACCAGATGCTCCCGATGCTCAAAAYGCGTTTGGTTTAAATGTAGCATTAGTCCACAGGTCATGGGCTGAGCTCCTCTCTGTCACACACACACCGCAGGTCAGACAGTCCCGTTCAGGAGCAATAACCCTTAAGGGCCCAGATTATAATCGGTCTTTAAAATGTGGTAAATAAATTACTCTCGGTGACTGAGAGGAAGTTTTTTTGATAGTTGCATTTTTTAACTGTTATCCTTTATATCTACAAGAGTTAAAGTTCTTCCAGAGTTTTAATGTAGTTCTAATGATTATTAGAAAGGGCATGATTTGAGGGTTTTACTGATAATATTTTATTCAAAACATGTTACAGAAGTCATAAGAAGCAGGTTTATTTTGAACAAACATTACAAACGTGTTCATTCCTACAAAACTGTCACATGTATTCACAAACAACACTAAACTGATTCAGATTAACATAAAAGAAATCATGTTTCATAATTAAATGTCCGCTTCCTGCTAAAAAGAAAAATCCTCCATCCATTCTGTCCTTGTTCCTTGTTCCTCAAAGTGGGGCTGGAGTCTGTCCCAGCTGCCTTTGGGTGAAGGMAGGGGACACCTGAACAGGTCTCCAGTCTCCATCAGGGACACAAAAGAGACAAACAACCATCCACACTCTGTAACCTTCTGGAGCTCTTCTGTGTGACTCTAGATGTGACAAAGTGAGAACTCTGGACTCAGATCCATTTGCTGCTGCACAGAGTTCTAATCACTTAATATCAATAATAATTAAATAAATAAATAAATAAATTATCATTGATAATTATCAGGAGAAGACCTTAACTTTAGGATGTAGTTAGGCAATTAAATATTCACAATGTAAATTTATTACTATAAGTGAAGGTGGGTCATGTAAAATTATGTTTTTATAAAACTAGTAACCCCACCCCCAACCATTTTTGGRGGGAAACACTGGGGTCCTTTTTTCACTCCCCCATTCCCTAACTGCCATTTGTGGATGGGGTCCAGAGGAGGAGCGGACCGTCTGGTGGGGGACTGGGCTGCGGGTGGGCTCGGAGCCTGGAGGGGTGCCAGGGACAGGGCTGGTGCTTCGGTTTCCTAGGAGCCGTTTCGAATCCCAGAGTATGGCTCCTGGTTGCCATGGTTGGCCCGCTGGCCGGGGTGGCTGCCAGAATTCGGCAGGTTGTCGGTTGGGGGAGTGCACAGGGCCATTAGCGGTGTGTGGGGGTGGTCGGGGCGTGGCTTCGCTGTGGTAGCGGGGTTCGCCGGTCGGCTTGGTGCGTCCCGGGCCGAACCTTGGCTGTCTGCTCCTCTCCACCCCAGAATGAACGGGTCTACCTCTTGGGTTTGGATGTGGGCTGCCCTCAGTAGGGGCCAGGTGCATGTCCTGGACCTGGGGGGCATAGAGTGTGTATCGGGAGTGTGAGTGGATTATGGCGTCCATTTTGTGTGTCTTTGAATGAATGGTTGTGAGAATGAGGGTGGGATTGTGTCTGTGTATGTTTGGATATTTGTCAGGCTGAGACTTGGGCTGCCCCCTTTTCTGGTTTATCTGGGGACCCACTGCTGGTGGTGCCCCCGCCCCCACCCCCGCTGCATTGCCCTTTGGTGGTTTGTGCCTTTCCCCGCTGGTGAGCTGGTGGCTCTCGGTGTCTGGGCTGGGCGCTTGGGCGTGTGCCGGCTCGGCCTGGTGACTGCCTGGTGGGGCTTGGACCCTTTGGCCCTCTCGGGCCTCGGCTTGGGGTGGTGTGCCCTGGGGGCCTGGGCCTCTGTGTCCATGCCCGGATCTACTCTTGCACTGCAGGTGCCAGTGGGACCTGTGAGTTCGTCACTGCTGGCCCTGGGGGATTACTGCATGGGGACGCTGGGCGGGGGTGGTTCTCCCGGTTCTCTCCTGTGGTCTGCTCTTGGGGGTGGGTGGGCGGTTCTTCATGCGCTGATGCCCCTGGGAGCTCTGTGTTTGGGGTCCCTCTCGGGCTTTTTGGCTCTGGTCTTCCCTGTGTCTGCTTCAGGTCTTATGGGTCGAGTCTGTGGGTCTCTTAAGTCACTATTAAATATTCCATTGGAGAAATCTGTGTATACATACATACATACATACA